TCAATTCCAACATGTCAACCCCTGCCATCACAGTTTTTAAGGCTAAAGTTACCAGAATGAAATTTGCTGAACCATTGTTGACACTTACGAAAGTTCAAAACATTTCCATAAACTTCTTTGGTATTCTTTTTGGCTACAGAGGCATTGTTTCCTTCTTGTATTCAAACAGCATTACATGCCGATTGTGTGTCTTCGTTTTCATCAAAGTCAGTATCTTCACAACTTATAACATACATTATCTTGGAAAAGTATTCTCCCTCCCTTGCAGTTTCTACATTTTGTTGCTGTCCGAGCTTACAATCACGAAACTTTCAAATGGGACCTTATATTTAGAATCTACACAATCCACTCCAAAATGAGAAAGCTAAAAAAAAAGTTAGATAAGTATTCAACCCTATATCAGTTCAGTGCAAAAGATTAGTTTGAAAGGTCACAAAATTTGTGTAATGGTCTCTCTGTGTAATCAAAGAGGTTTAACTTGACTTAAGAGTAAATGCACCTGTTTATGTCACAACTCACATAGTGATACAACAAACCAACCATAAAGACCAAGGAGCCTCCAAACAAATCAGGGATAAAGTGGTAGAGAAGGTCAGAAGACAATTTGAAAGTCACTGAATATCTGTTTGAGTATGGTGAAGTCCATCACTGAGAAGTGGAATGTGCTTAATACCGCTCAGTCACTACACAGATCAGGCTGTCATTGCAAACTGAGCAGCTTTCCAATCAAGAAACTGGTTAGGGATGCCACTATGAAGCCAACAGTGACTTTGATAGATTTGCAAAATTCCATGTCTGAGATGGGAGTCAGTGTTGATACATCAACAATATCCTGTTCCCCCTACAAAGCTGGCCTGTATGGGTGAGGGGCAAGAAAGAAGCCATTACTGAAAAAGAATCATCTTCAATATCGTATGGAGTTTGTGACAAGGTTGGTTGGTTGGTTGTTTGGTGCTTTATGGCGCAAGCAAAGCAGTGAGGCTATCTGCACCAAACAACTGGTAAAAACAAAGAAAGTAAATTAAGTAAAATGTAAAAATACAGTGAGATAAAACCAATACGTTGTTAAAAGATTTATATAGAATTAAAAAGACGTATAGTGTGTAAAAAAT